CCTCAAGTCCAAGACCAGCCACCATGGCAACAGTGACTCCAAGCCCAGCGGACGCCACAGCAACAGTGGGGGAGGTGGATCTGGTCACAAGAGGAAGCGCTCACGTTCGCGCTCACGGTCTCGCACTCCAGTCAAAGTGGACAGGGACCGTGACAGAGAGCGGGATCGTGAGAGAGACAGGGACCGCTCCTTTGACCTTTCTTCAAAGAAACACAAACATGAACGAGGAGCTGGTCACAGAGCAGAAAGGAGGGAGAGGGAGAGGGAGAGATCTCGGTCCTACGACAGGGACAGAGAGAGGGAGCGTAGCCACAAGAGCAAACACCACAGCAGTAGTGGGCACTCGGGACATAGCCGCCACCGGCGATGAGACACCCACCCACCCACAGACAGGCTTTGGACTGATGATCACTGAAGTATTAGCATACTCAAAACATAATCTCCCCTAGCATTTTATCTGAATTCTGGGGCCAACTTGAGTCCTGTCTGCATACACGTGTGTTCTTTAATGGTTGAGTAAATAATTGCACTCAAACTAATCTTTAAAGTAAACCAGATCAACCTGTCAGGTGACATAATTGACATGTCTTAGGGGTTTGTGACAAAAAATGTCCATGTTGAGCACACAATACAGCTGTAAAAGCAAAGTTCTTCACTTGAGCTACTATCGTGAGAACACACTAGGTGTGATTCAGTTTTGGGTCTACATTAAGTCCAAGAGGCATCATGGCTTTTTCATATGCAGTCTGAAACACTGATTGATCAACCATTTAGAGTCCTTCACCTTTAAAATTGTGATATGCAATGACAAATAGCACATTGTTTTTGTTGTAAGGGTGACTTAAGTAAAGCCATGACATGGAAGCATTGTTGAAATGGCCAGAATCTGATCCAAGCTCCCGCATTCACACGTATTAGTGATCAAATATTCATTTCCTGACTTTCATCTTCACATCAGCACTCTTTAAGCTGATATTTGGCCAAAGTGGTTTACTCTCTGTTTCTTGTAGATTATGTATGCATACAGGAACATAGGCTGCAACAGTAATTACCAGCTTGAAGTGGACTGTGTGTAGGTTTACCAGCTTTTTTCTACACACATGGTCAGACACATTGACAAGTACATCGTGACATCAGTCCAGACCTGTCATCATTTAGTCCCATTTAGGTTTTATTTTAATTTTCCATGATACCCTCATTCCACAATGACACCATCCCTTGAGCCTACCCTTGTGTTCTTGGTTTTACATGTAAAGTTATAGACTTTGGAAATAAGAAACTTATTTACAGTGTAAAGATGGATTGATATCTGCTGACGAATGTGAATGCTTTGATTTATAAAAGCAACTAGCTCAGAAGGTTTGAATGAATAAATGTAAAGTCAAAACTATCATTCAGGAAAGATCAATATGTTTGCACATCAAGGGACTGACAGGTGAGTGGTTTTTGTTTAACTTTTTTTGGACATACGTCGCTAAAGCTGTATCTTGTACAGTTTAAAAAAAAAACAAGCTGGCTATAGATGTTTGTTTTGTTTTTTTCCTTTATTTTTTTTTTTACAGCAGGAGGTGCAGACTCGATTTCAAACATTTTATGGTTTTCAATTTGTAACACTGGTTTTTAGTCTGCACGTGTTCATGTCCAATTTTTATTCAATAAATGAGTTATGCCACTGAACTGCATTTCTTGTCTAATTGGTGTGTTATGAAACTAGATGTAGGAAAGGATCTATTGGAGATGTTCACTATCACAAGCTTTTGACCCAGTACACATACTTCTATAAGCCCTTATATATATGATTAATGACCTTAAACTTGAATCCAGTGTTGGGAGTAGAGGTAAAGTAACTGTCAACGAAGATGAACATAGTTTGAATTGAATCCACCCTACACACAAAGCCGAATATTTTAAAATCTGGAGCACTTGAACTTTAGGTTCGTGCAGCTAGAGGGCACTATTAGTCTTACAAATAGGTTCTCATAAATTGAGTTTCACTGTTAAGCCAAATTCATAAGCCTGTTTTTCCTTGGTTTCAAGTAGAAACAATGTTTTAATACTATTCAACAGAATTATATTTAAATACTTGAGAAATTAAATAAGGAATTACCTCACAGTCACATCATCAAAAGACATTAGTTACAAACTGATTTCCATTATTTCAAAATACCTGAGATTGTGAACTGTGAGTTGCTGCCTTAATACATTTTATACACGTGTAGTGATGGTTTACTAAGTGTCTCTTTGCCAAAAATTATGTAAAACAAATTATTGCACAAAAATAGCTTTAGCCAAAACTTAATAAATGAGATAAGAGGTGTTTCTCTCGTGCCTCGTGGTGTGATCTATTAAACTGTTGGAAGTAAAAAAAAAAATTAAAAATTAAAAAAATCCCTTGACTCTCTATGTTTCTGTTGAAGTATTTCTATACAAAGTAAACCATTCTGTTAAGATAAGTGGAGTGGGCAACTCTTCCTCTCTGTTCCAGTGCCACTGCCTCATCCTCCTCATCCTCCTCTACACTGATGTATCTGTACTGTCTAAAGAGTTTCAAGCCTTTGGTTCTTGCTTGCTGTCACACAGCAAGTGACCACAGGAAGTACAAGTACCATGACACACAAAGACTCAGTTATCTGATGTTTTTTTTACAAATGTTTTAGATTTTGCAATAGCAAGCCAAAGCACTATTGTTACAGTGGTCTCTCTCTCTCTCTCTCTCTCTCTCTCTCTCACACACTGTCAGTCTTGCATACCTACATCAAAACATTTGGTGCCAAAGGCATTGTATTTACAGCTGCAGTAGGCATCTTTTGTGGGACAAGATAGATTCAGCAAAATCTTGGAAGCATTGAACTGATAAAAAAAAGGCAAAGGCACCTCTTCAACCACATATATGTGTGCACTGAGTCACTGGACCGGTCCACGGGAGAGAGAAGCACATTTAAGTTGTCATTGCTAACTGTAACCTTCCTTTCTCTGCCAATCTTAAGCACCTGGCTTGCTAGTTTTTGTCTGTGTAGGCCTACACTCTGCACAAGGGCAGAGTTTAGAGACAGATGAGAAAGCCATCCAGTCAATTCCCTTGACAGGCCTTGATTTTTCTCATTTTCTTTTATTATTGCGGCTGAATCTGCATTTTTTTTTTCCCACAAAGATGGCAACACATGCTTCAGAATTAAATTAACTACTCTTTTTTTGTCTCTTTTAACTTGATTTGACACTTCATGACTTGTGAGCTGGTAGTGTTCATGAATTGAAAGGCATCCTCTACCAGTTTGAGCCCCCATAGAGAACTGAACTAACTGTAAATGGTGTCATGCATGCCTGTGGTCATTCACAGGCTGTATTGCACTGGTTCCAAAACCTGTGGTCTGAGCCCCCCCTGGATGCAAGGCTTTGTCTGCTCTGAGGTTGTCAGAACAAGATTTGCACATTAACTACAATCATGATAGCACATTTTGGTAGTTTATTCAAAGATATTTAGGTAAGAACAAGTTTGTAGGCTTATTCTGCTGGGATTTCATTAATGAAAAGTATTCAAATCAAAGTTAATTTTCAACAGGACTGTATCTCTTTCTTTCCTGTTGGTAATGAGGCGCTCAGCTCTTAGATAAAGGTTGGAAAACACTGCTCTACATACATTAAGAAACAAACTCCAAAGACAGGCCATAATAATTACATTTTTGAAATTTGTACAAGTGCTAAATTATTTTTAATAGTCTCACTAAATAGCTGTATTATACTAAAATACATAATCTCCTACACAGGTGTGGGCATTTTCTCTGGCTACTTCAATCTGGCCATCCGGCGTCACAAGCACTCTGACACCTAGCGTTTAAAATGAGTACTGCAGTCCAAATTCAAACATCGATAGCGATGTATGAAACAGAACAGTTATGACAAACTAATGCAGGGGATTGAGTTTAAAGATATGGAGTGAGAGCGCTTTGGGAATGCTCGCGTTGTACCAAGATTTACGCAAGGAGGACGGGATGTTTCCGTTTGCTCTCTTAAAGAATCATTTCAGTGATACTGTCTTTGTCTTCTGGGTGGTTTCAGGATTAGCACAGCATCCAGAAGACAAGAGCATGTTGTCCATGTTCTTATATAAGTGTCTCCTGGAGTTTGGAATGATTCTTCATTGTTGCCAGTGTGTGCTTGTGTTTGTGCATCATATCAGGAGCTGAGGACACTGAAGCAACAGTTTGGAGAGTTTAGTCATATGATCTCCATCACTGTGGGCTCAGTGAGTCAGCCCAGTGAGTGACATCGAGACAAATTATCTTAAGCTGGGCTCGAACAGAAACAAACCCTACTTTGTGAACCCTACTTTCTCCTTGTGAAGATCCAGGAAATCATCATTCAGTTTCTGTATTCCTTTATTTTACTGGTAAAGGTTTATTATTCAATTCTGTCAGGAAATAGACAAGAAGGCAGTGTCAGACATGCGGAAGGTGCAACATGTATGTATACAGTCCTTTACAATACCTTAACCATTGTCAATAAAATACAGCATTATTTGTTTTCATTAATAATCAAGAGTAATATCAAAACAATGGAGAAAAAAACTGGAAGACAAGAGGCAGCAAGATCAAATCTGTGGTTCATTGTTTCAATAGTTCCTCTACGACACGATTGAAGTGTTTCAACAGTTACACAATAAATATTAACCTTGTATAAAAATCAAATATACAATCAAACATTATTTACCAGCAGACTAAAGAAAAAAATAATCATAAAAAAAGGTTTAACTATGATTCTTTACTCGAGGCTGATATTGTTCTGTACATTCAGAAACTTCAATCCTTGTTTTAATCATTTTCACATCCAGTACACAGTGTTTTATGTTTTACTGAAAAAGTAATCTCATTGTGCTTTAAAGTAGTATAAATAAGAGCTCAATAACCTTCAGTCTAAAACAATGGATGACAGATAGATAGATGATAGAGAGATAGATAGATAGACAGACAGACAGACAGACAGACAGACAGACAGACAGACAGACAGACAGACAGACAGATAAATATAGATAGATAGGTAGATAGAGAGATAGAGAGATAGATAGGTAGATAGACAGAAAGACCCTCTTTTGTTGATTTTGGCTCTGGAAGGTTTGAAACCAGGCCAACATGGCAGCGTGACGACAAAGAGTGTTCACATTGTAACTCGTAGACAGCTTAGGCCAACAATATGATCAGACATTCACCTTATACACCAAGAAATCAACACTGCAATACTGGAAAGTTAGAGCTGGTGCATTAGTACCTTTGGAACATGGAGAAGAGAGTATTTTAAACTTCACTTAAGGATGGCAGTGGTTGCAATGTTTGTTTACTAGCTGACAGGTCAAGTAATGTGTGTGTGTGTGTGTGTGTGTGTGTGTGTGTGTGTGTGTGTGTGTGTGTGTGTGTGTGTGTGTGTGTGTGTGTGTGTGTGTGTGGTTTGTTCAGCACAAATACATTTCTCTCTATTAGTCAGCTATACATTCTAGGGTGCTAGGGTTTGCTTCATACCATCCAGGAGTTCATTACATTTCAAATCTATATTCAAGCCTTGAAAATCATTGAGGTTTCCCTCATTTACAATGATGTCCAGATACAAAAAAAAAAGAGCACAAATAAAACAACAAAGACAGGATGATTCTCAGTAAAACAAAAACAATCGCACACTAAGTTGTGTGAGATCATTGTCTTAATGTGTCCAAGAGAAACAAGAGTGTGAATGGTGACACAATCGGAAACACTCAAAAAGTTGTTGAGTGGTTAAAAATGAGTGGAACAACCATAGGACAAATGACCCTCGCCAACCCTACAGCCATGACACTATTCAGACTAATGATGTTACATATTTGAATTAAAAAAATGTATTGCAGATTAAGCAGTTAATCCCTCTGATGGCATAGCCATCTGTGTATGTGGGCAATTAATCGAAAAAAAGGCAGGAAAATGTGAAGGAGAGGCATGATGTAAATAATCTTATGTGTAAGCACATTGATGTGTGGATCAGTGTGCAGACAGCAGAAGGTCCAGACTGGTAACCTGACCCGGTGGGAAAGGCAGTGTTATGATTGTATGTTCAAAGCTAACAGGATCTAGGCTTTAGGACAATTTAAGACCAAAGAAGCGGTGCTTGTCTGTCACACAAGTTAAAATTAAAACTACCATAGGCATTTTGAAAATATTCAACGCACTTAATGTCTTACCAAAAAACCAAAAGCATTACCGAAGCAATATGTTCACCTGTGGGCAGACACACACCTCAGATGTGGATCCAGAGAAAGATCAGAATCCGACTTGCAGAATAATTGATTTGCCACAGTCGACTGTGAAATTGTCTGGTGCAGGCAGCTCAGAGCTTAACTAGAGCAAGACATGTTTGTCATCTTCCTCCATGTAAGTGAGGAACAAAAGGGAGTTCATGTGCTCCACATTCAGGCTGTACTGCCACAGGCTGACGTTTTTTCCAGGTGGAAAGGTAAAAGTTAAAAATACAGAAACAGTCTCAGTCCATTAAAATGTGGGAAAAAAACAGAGCAACAGCATTAACTTCATTCAATCACAGTTTCTCTTGATGTTTAAACAGACATTTCTCTGAATTTTTGAGAGAACCCTTATTAAGTTTGATGTTTTCTTACAAATCTGCGGTCCAACGGAGTCTCACTCTTACCAAGCAACATCTGATTTGTGTCCTCTCCTTGAGTATTATGAAGTAAATTGTTCATTTTAAACATTTCTTGTTTGGGAAAGCCAAGAAAGGCTCAGTCCATACACAACTGACATTGCAAAAGACCAGAAATCTGACCACAGCACTCACTCTTAGGGGGCTTGCTTTATAAGCCACTTATGTACAAGAGAGGAACACAGAAATGTAGTCAAAATGGTTTTTTTAAACATGGTGCTTGTATATGTTGGATGAAAGGTTTCTGATTCTTACTTTACTCCAGAGAAGTAAAGAGTAGTTTCAATTAAAAGTAAAGATAAGATGGGTTTCTTTAACTGCTGGATTGACTATGTACATGTTCCCTAAGTACTTTTGATATTGAATTAGTTGATAAAATAGCTGAAAGGATCAGTAGAATAATCATTGTTGTTACTGTAATATCAATTATATTCTGTATAATCAGCCAGCAGCTGCTTAGCGTAGCCTAGCATAAATACTGGTAGAAACAGCTAGCCAGGCTCTGTACGAAGGTCATGAAGTTGTTTTACATCTGGCTTTCATGCAGGACTGATTCACTCTGGGACTGTTCAGCAACTTATGACGACTCCAGTGAGTCACCTCTCCTGGCCAAGAAATCTGTCTTTGTTTACCTATGATTTTTGTCCATATCAAAAAATATATAAATCCATTATATTCCTCATCATACTTCCTGCTTTAAGGAGAAAAAAAAATGTTCAGTGTCATTATTGCTACAAGTCCTTATGAGGTCGGTGCTTTTCTTTATTTTCTCAAGTCTTTATTGCTAAATACTCCTCTGGACTCTCTGGAATCATTACGAAACATCAAACTCAGAAAATCATGACATGCTGGTTTTTTCTAAAGTGGTTAAATCTAACAGAGGAGTCCTGATTCCACAAGAGGAAATTGAACTTTCCATACAGTATAGTCCAGTCATGTAACACTATAATCTTTAACACTTAAGTACTGTAACATTCATTTATAATAGTAGATGCACCAGTTAGTGTAACATTAAGAACAGTCAGTTACTATTTATAAAAAAAGCTACCACCCTTCACTCTTGATATTATTATTGCTGGTTCATTAAAGTCTACAAAATACTGCATATAAAGCTTTTTTCTGATTGTTTTTGTTTTCTCTGATTACGATGTTTACCACAGGATACAGATATAATCTTCTGCTACCGACAGTGGAAACTGTTTTTTTTTTTCTTTGTGTGAAACTACAGAAAAAATCCTCAGTGAATGTTTGTATGTGAATTTTGCATTTGTGAACGACATGTTTTGTTAACAGGTTGTGCAGCTTTGTCCTCGTAGGTTTTTCTCACAGGTAGGTAGTAGCCTCTCTGTTCTCCCTCTCTCTGGCCTGAGCCACGGCCACATTGATGCACTGCAGCCACTCCTCAGCATGTTTCTCATCCTGAGCTTTCAGCACATATGTCTTACTGTCTGTGAAGATCTCAAAGGCCCGTGGGAGACCCCGATCTCGCCGTTTCTTGGCAACCACCTGTGGGAAAAAAAAATAAAAAATAAAGGTCATAAATAGGAGGATGAGACCAGAAAAAAAGAAATCAGACTTAAACATCTGTCCACTGGGAGAGATGCTGCTGACATTTTTTTTTACATTTACGGGATTTGGCTTTATGCAGTCCTATTACTTCCAGCTGTAATGACAGCTGGCTGAGAGTATTTGGGGATGTGATCTGACCTCCTAAATAATGAACATTATTACCGGGGATGGACGGGGAAATCTGAACTCCTTACCTTGACACTTTGCACCTTGCTTAGCTCGATAGGTATGTCATCCAGCTCATCTTTCTGCAGAGAGGCAGAACACAGGGAAAGTAAAGAATCCAGTCAAACCAGAAGAGAAGAAAAAAACCTTTGATGGAGAGTCTCAATTTTCCAAAATCTTTTGGTACATCTTGGTGGGCACAGGATATTTAGGGCATTTTAATCTTTAAGCATGTATTAATCATGAACATCCATCACATAACCATGCAGGTACAATGTGTTCGTGTGTGATGGTGTAAACATGTACTGGCTCTTTCTGCCTACTGGACATGGCAATTGCTTGAATAGTTACTAAACTCCTGCTAATGTTGGCCTTAGGATTTTTGGAAAGATTGTCAATTAAAAGTAAGATGTAGTTCATTCAAAATGTTGTAGATGTGTTTATCTGAATTTTACAATGATGTAGTACTATAAATGTAAGGTGCTGTTTTGTGAGTTGTAATATAAAGTAACATAAGTACAGTAGTACCACAAAACACTGATAATGTACAGCTTTGAGTAATCCTACTCTTCCATTGGTATTTGTTACTCATATGGAAACATTTTGTATACTCTTAAACACTTTGTTTTGTTCAAGAGAGGAAAAGGTTAATAGAGGTCGAGGGAGTTGATATTTGCAGCGACTTCCCTCCATGTTTGATGGTGTTATTTTGTTTAGTCTCATCAAAAAGACCTTTTCTCTAGCCATGTTTGAAAATAACTTTCTTTTGAGAATATCCAGAGCCAGATCATTTCAGCATCACAATACTGCGTCACAGTTTTTTATGTTTCACCCCAAAAAAATCTCATTTACAGGATGAGCTATTACTCTTCATTGTTCTGCTTCTTCTCTGGAACAAGAAATGAAATCCTCCTGTTCTGCTACACATCAAATCTTTTTTTTTTTTAAATCCCTCTAACTGTAATTTTCTCAGTGTGTGGTTGTGTGCGAATTGCACCACAGTCATGTTTTCTCAGCCCGTAGTTAGTAACATGGTCAAAACCACAACACCAGGGTTAGCTGCAAGACAATGAAAAAAAACTGCCTGTGGTGTGTATGCAAGTGTGTTTGTTGAAAAAAATCCAATCACAGAAGATATTTCACAGTTTTACCCCCCACATGGCTCCACTGAGGGTCAGATAATTGTTTTCCCTCAGAGGATACAAGTCAGCCGCTTCATGTTCTGATTCAACTTGACATTTGATTGATTTGATTGATGAGAATAAAACATGTATCCTAACCAAGACATTCATTCAAATGTAGTCTCCTAATACTTAAAACTGCAACTCCCAAGCTAGGTAACTTTTTACCTTTAGTGTCACTAACAGAGTCTGTCATTGCATTAGAAAGAGGTAAAAAAAAACATGGTGCTGATACTTCATGAGATCATTTGAATTCTGCCACTGGCTAATAAGTTTTATTGGAAAAATAAAAGTAACCACACATGTAGTCTGTTGTGGATTACCTAACACTAACACAAGCAGGTTTCAGGCATCTAAAGAGTAAAAGAATGGAAAGGGAAAGCTGCCTTGAAGGAAGAAAAAACAACATTCAGAAAAACAATAAACAAATAAAGCTGCCCTTACAGCTGCCTAATACAAAACAGAGAGTGCAACATAAAATGCCAGTACATAGCAGAAAATAGGAAACCCACAAAGGTGTATGCATGCTAAAACATACTCATTTTAGGTGTCGGTCAATGTGTCTAAAATATAGACACATTAACCATTTATTTTGTATCATTCTATTTCTCTCTCTCTCTTTTTTTTATTACTGCATTGTTGCATAAAGCCTGATGCCAAATTGCTATCCAGGCCTGCCTTTAGTTTAGCGTCAGTCTATGTCTGGTCCTAATAAGGGGGGGAAAATAGAAGTCAGAGGAGGACATCCCAGTGTGTCAGCAATGATCTACAATGTCGAGTAAATAGGTAACCTTCACAGAATATCCCTTCTACACTGCATGTGCTTCTGTGAATACATGCAACAGCCTGAGTGCTGGTCATGAGGTACACGGCTTAGCTTTGTGTGGATGTAGGGAATGTTTCCAACCCTCGGACTGTCAAAGCTGCTCTATCATTCAATGAGGAGGAAACCACACATCTAAATGTTCTCAATCTCTCTCCCCATTTGGGAAAACTTCTTTCACAACATACCAACCTCCTCCGGAACATGCTGGCAAAGGCAGACTGAGCACCGAGAACAAAGACACACAACCTTTCCAGTTAGTGGCTGCAGCACAAGAGAGGACTCTATTACCATCTGGATAGAAACACAAAGACTATTGTTTGGAGTTTAAAAAAAAAAAAAAAAAAGCTCAACTCCACTCTATTTCTGTTTCCAGATACTCTCAATTAAAATGAAATGTTTCACTCGTGTAGATCACTGGAATAAAACAGAATCAAAGCTTGAATTTGTTTCCCACATAAATCGTTTTCTAAACTTCCTCACGAACTGAAGTCATTTTTCTGTTTGTCAGCTGAAAAGAAATCAGTGTGGTCCTTTTTCAGACAACTGACCTCAACACATCTTTGATCTGCCTTTATGTGAGTTTGATTAGGCAAACGGTTCCTGAGAACAATTACTCTGGTTTTGTTCAGCCTTACGTGTGGAAGTTGGAGGAAAAAAAATGTGTTGCAACCGCGGGGGAACACTGCTAAACTTTGAGTTCTGTTTTGTCTTTTCTAGTACAAACTGTTGAAGACAGTACCTTCTTTGTGTGTTTGCTACTTGTGCGTAATGCTATCTGCTTTGAGTTATAGTGGGTGAAAGTGACCTATGAGGTTGCAGCATCATGCTTTGGCCTTGGGAGTCCCTTTATTGTCCTTACCGGGGCCAAGGTTCGTTTCAGATACATCAATGGGATGGTCCTGAGGGACAGATGTTCTTATCTCTTGATGAGATTTCCACTGTTTCATACAGTTGCATCATGCTTCAAATGACATGGACCAGGGAGTATTAATGAGGATTTTCTGGTGGGAGGGTCTAGGGACAGTGTGCATGTGGAAGTGTGTTTGTGTGTGAGGAGGCTTCGTCTTCATTAGCCACGTACTGATTTGCCCCTCCGGAAGAGAAGCTGGTTTCCTGCCAGGGTGAAGTAACGGGTTTTCCAGCGCTTGATGAACTTCCAGCGGACCTGCTTCTCCTTCAGCTTCCCCTCGATCAAAGGCTGTCCCTCCTGGTTCACAACTGACAGGGAGAAATCAATTATGTAGACATACTTAAAAGAAAGACGAAAACAAATGAAAGACAGTTTTAAGTTGTTTCTAGGGGCAGCTTCAGTTTGAAGGGTTTCATGATCATTCTAACAGTAATTCATTACATAAATACAATTCTTTATCCTGGCAAAGAAGAGAAGATTGTCTCAATGGTCGTATTTCAATACATACTGGTGAAAAAGGTGTTGGATGAGGGTGAGGTGTGATAATGTGGTGTGCTTGTTGTCTATATCTGCCTGACAATTCACTTGGATACCAAGCATATTCCAATTTAAATGTTTAAATGCAACTATCCTCCAAAACTGGGAAACCTGGCTTATGGCCCCTGTTTAGTTATTCATGAGACCCCTGGGTAATGAATATAAGCCGGTGTAAGTGAATGTACATCATGAGGTGACCCTGCACATTTCTCAGGACAATTATTTTTCTCCACATACAGTACAACAAGATAACAGCTATTCATTTTACATGCTCAAGCTCACGTCAGCCACCCTTCTAATCTGACACTTCCAAAATATATTTATTTTAAATGATTTACAGAATTTTTCTTAAATTACAAGTTTTAGTCTCAATATCCTTCAAATTGTTTATTTATGTTTCCCTCCCTGTGGTTCTTTGTTGTTATGTTTTATAACCCTAAATCTCCTACAGTGTATAGTGCTGGAAAAAGTCAAACATACACACAACTTTTCACACTTCTACTTCCATTCATCAATGGGTTACTCAGTGTAAATCAAAAAAAGGTATTATGTCTTCCTCATGTATGTTTGTTCCGATAGAGGAGAACTCCCACAAATTTGAGTCATGACTGGTCTGGTTAGAAACACTGACGCACATAAACAGCCAGCTGCTGTGATTGTGTGTGTGCATTTGTATGTGTGTGTGTGTTTGTGTGTGTATCTATGGCGCACGCATTAAATTAGTTTTTGTGTTAGGAATGTAGATATTTCACTGTTTCCTGTTTTGTTCTTAAAAAAAGAAAAATAAGAAACGAATCACAGATGAATTTCTAATCACTGATTGTGAAATAAGTGACTGTGATCCCCAGACTCCTGGTTTAGCTTTGGTGCCAGTTAGCCAGCACATCTGAAGCTGACCATGAAACAGAGCTACTCTTTGTATTCATGATGATGAGTAAAGCAGGCAAGAGATTAGTGCAATCTGATCACAGTGTGTGTAAATGTGTGGGCATGTTGCAAAGATGATTCACAAAGGTGCCTGACGTGAAACAGGACAAAACCTAAAGGCCATCAGAATCTCACATTGGAAGAGAGCAAAAGGTGAAGCTTGCTTTTCTGTTTCACTTAATGGTAGATAAAAAAACCAGTCCCTCTCACCCAATGACAGCTGGGATCAGCTCCAGCCCTCTAGTAACCCTGACAGGAAAAGCGATATAGATAATGGATGGATGGATTCTTCAGTTGAAATAGTTTGATTATAAACTAATGAATAATTTTTGGTAATATCAATGCTCTGATGAGCCGAACAAATACCATTTATTTAACCACCATTGTACTGAAGGAAAGGACGAACACATGATCTTGGCTAACTAAAAACGTCTTCAAATTAAACTACAGGTCGTGTCGACTGATGGCTAAGTGTGAAATGTTTTGTATTTGTGTTCAACATTGGATATAATGATTAACTAGGTTGCAAAGCATGTTCATAATATTTCAAAATGTAACATTGAGTTTCGACTGACAAACTGTTTTCTTTACCAGTCCCAACCATTTGGGTGAGTGACTTGCTGACATCATTCAAGAAATATTTCTTGTTTGCATAAATCATTATTTCTTGTCCGTCTGTGCTTTGATGCCACATACCTGGAAAAAAAAGGTCTGGATTTGTTGTTGGCCTCCGGCTGTGGTCTATAACCTCTAGTCTGAGACACGCTGACCGCAAACAATGAGACACAAAAGGTGCTAAGACAATTTTATAAATGTACTGTTATTAAGTTATATTTTAAGGTACTTGTATTAGGATGCGATACAATTGGATTGATCCCTGGTGGTCTTCAGCTTTCTCTGTGTATTCTTGAAAAAAGTCATTTGTCAAATTTAAGTTATTTCCGTCCTAAAACAGCTGTCCCTCTAAACAGCCTTGCAAGAATGTATTGATCTGTTTACCAGGGATGATGTCATACCAGAGATGAAAGATGGAGAGTTTGAGAAAAGAGCTAAGATAAGTATTGACAAGAATGGATTATCATTTTGTGATATTTAAGTATGGGCTAACATCTTTTTTGTAGGACCCCCAAGCCTGCCTGGTGATATTACCAGAATATCATTAGATCATTCCAGAAATTCATCATAATCTCAAAAACTCCATCCGTGAAAATGGAACTCTTCAGCCCGGGAATCTCCTGAATTCGCAACAGAATTCCTGGAGTTGATAGTTTCTGTCGAGTGAGTCTTCACTGATTGATGGTTGGATGATGAAGAGTCTGGCTTGGGGTTTTCCACCTTTTTGCAAACTGGGGATCCGTCTTCCAGACACGAGTGAATGTGTGTTCAAATCCACATGTAGCGGCATGAGGGACAAGACTGTGTGTGATAATCTCAAAGGGTGTATTTTTAGGGCCAGAAGCCAACTCCAGGCCATTCCTACTTTTTTTTTCTCTCTTGTCACTCGTTACTTTCATTATGTGATGGTAAGCCAAGAGTATCCAAGTAAAATAAAGTAAACAAAACCGGAAACATCTTGATAGAAAGAAGAGAGTTGTGCAGGCGGTTCATATTCTGGCAGTCTCCCCACACAGCACATGCACAAACACAAACCCGCTCACAAACAGCTCTCAGCTCAGCTCATTACCACTCACTTCAAAGGCATTCCAGTAGTTAAAGTTAGCAGTATATCATAAAGCATCATGGAGTTGCAGTAACCACTGGCTGACTTTGGCCTTCACACTGGAAAACCCTTCACCTTTCACTGTTTCTCCTTCATCATAAAAACAGGAAACCAGGTTCTTGCTTTGTGTGAGTGTGTAACCTCTGAAGTAATCAGCACGCCACTCAGGCCAAGTCAGCAAGTTTTTGTTATGGTAACACAATATAAAGCATTAAAGAGAAAAAAAAGTTGGCTGGTTGAAGCTCGTAATGTGAACAGCATGAGTACATGAAGCAAATATGTGAAGTTTGATGTGCTGTGTTTTATGATGAAATAAAAAAGTGGGTCACCACCGAAAAGTTCCAAATGGCACTTGGTCCGAAGTCCAGTTGTTACATATAATTCAGTGAGATGAGGTGACTCATCAACATCACTTACAATAACTTGACTTAATTTACTGGATGTAGTTTGAGAGCTTTCAGTCGAACACAAAAACGGTTTCCAGGGGATAAATCTGATTTGTTTTCTGGCTTTGACTAAATATTGCTGGCTTGTATTTTGGACTTTTCAGTTTGGTGAAAGACTTTTTCATCTGTTTCACATCTTCATAAACCATTTGGACTTGTAAACCATATCACGTACGTGAGCCATTTGAATTTGCAGAGAGTTTGTATCCAATACAGCTACAGGCACTGTTGCCTATTTTACTTTTTGTAAAGTGAGAGTAACTTGTGTGTTACTGCGTTCAGGTTACATAAGATTTCCTCCTTTAAGGTTCTGATGAGGTTTTGGACTGCAGAATATAAACAACTTTTTTGGCTGTTCAGCAGTTTATTCATATTAAAAAATATGATCCTTGTATGACTGTGGCTAAGTCATGTTCATTTATAACATCCTCTTATCCAACTTCCTGAATTTTCTGTCTGATTTTCAACAGAACCATTCAAAGCAAAATAATCATTACTAAAAAAATCAATTACAAAATATTTGCCCTGCACAACATTCACTTCATGGACATAGATGTACTGTTTTAAAGTTTTGTATAACATCCCTCAAACCTCTCTTTCCTCTGAGTTATGAGGCTGAGTGTTGACAGCTGCAGATAGTGCTGGTTCAGGCCAACGAGTTCCCGAGTCTGACACAAACAAATCAGCTCTCAGGTGCTAAAAGCCAAAGAGAGGTCACTTCTTTTACACTACTGACTGTTTGAACACAAAGCAGAGAAGATACATAGCCATGCTGGAAGAATTTCATGCTCCAGGTAACACACAAACACATGGAAGAGTGGGTTCAATGACAATGTTCACATATTTTCTTAAAGCTCAGGATTCATAGGAATGTGAAGGTTAAAAGATTAAATACCTGAGCCTCTTGACTTACCTTAAGCAAAGGTTAATTACTTATAATTATTAATTATAATTAACTTAAGTCTTATAAATAAAAGACTTAAATACACTGAACGCATCCAGTTTTTTTTGTATTTGGAACCAGCAGCACCATTAGATAATGTTCACAATAAGTTTGGGTTTCTGTAAACTCTACAAATGTGATTCACACAACACAAACACAATTAAATTTATTGTCATTGTAGTGCAGTGGAGGCAAAAATTTCGCGTATATATACAAATCTGTGTTTGGACTTTTAAAGAAGAAGGTGTCAGACAAGCTGAATGGAAAGACATGCAGAGCAGTTTGGCCATCCAAGGGCATAAACATTTTAGAAAACAAATTTAGAAAAAAACGCAGCCCAACTGCCAAGTTTGACTAATCCCTTTTGAAATCATCTTGTACCGTCAAAGACTGGCACGAATCTGAAATGTAATCATCCGTTCTTGCACTCGTTCAGCCCGTGATTACTGGTTTGTTCTGAGCAGCAGAGCTGGAAGGATGGCTTCATTTGGCTTTTGTACTTTTTGGACTAGGCAACCTGACATGTGTGTGTTTACTTCTGTGCATGTGACTGTTTGTATGTTTGATGTAATGGGTGATGACAAGACAATGACATGGAAGACCCAGAAAGAAAGAGCCGTGAACCCAGCTAAATAACAGCTCCAATACAGAGGAGCCAAATGAATATTAGTTCCACTTGAATGGATGAGGATCATTCATGCCAAGATGTCTGTACTAGTGAAACACAGAATCCATCTGTGTACCCTGACAAACAAAAACAAAAGTTGTGCTGTTTTCAAATGCAAAATCCTGCCTTCAATCTCCACTTCTCAGGGTACACAGACGGCTTCTGCATCTCACTAGTACAGATATCTTGGTATTCAATCGATGGCTCTCTCTTACACCTCATATTGAGCAGTTGGTGAAAAGTATTTGTTCCTTTCTTTAATGTCCAAAAGGAGACTGGCTGCTGAATCTTAAATGTCTGTGTTGTGATGTTTTACATATGCCCACCTCTTCTGAAAGCTTCAATGCTCTAGACAGTGAGTCTCATGAAGCAGCAGTACAAAGGCAAGTTTTAACCCCTCACTCATCAATGTTTGTTGTATGCCCTGGAAGTCCACATGTAGTGATAAACACACCAGCATTCTTATTCAACAGTATATTTAAGGTTGGCTTCCGCCATACCTAGAACCTACATCAGACAGAAAGGTACAGGAAATTATCATTTTCAGACCCAGGACCATTTCTTACTGTAAATGCTAAATGGACTTGAGCTTATGAAGCACCTTTCTAGTCTTGTGTCTACTCAAAGAGCTTTTACACCGCATGCCACACCTATCCATTCACACTGATGGTAGAGGTTGCTATGTAAAGTGACCACCAGAAATAAGTAATTCAAACACATTCAGACGAAGCCGCCAGGAGCAACTTGGGGTTAAGTGTCCCAAGGACACATTGGACATGAAGCTGCAGGAGCTGGGACTCGAACCCCTGTCATTTCGGTTGAGAGATGACCGACTCTAACAACTGAGCCACAGCGTCTGTTCCAAAGTTCAGAACTGAACTTAGGAAATAGGCATTTTAATTTGCACCTTTTACTTGGAATGAATTACAGAATGACTTGAATGTAAAGAAACTGGTCTCATTTGAGGAACTTTAACCCTTTTCAGATTGTGATTCTGCAACAGTGTCCTACATGACTTTCTACTTTCATATTGACTCCACAATGGCTCAATAGTTGTGTCCTAGTCTTAGATTTCCCATTGCATTACAGGGTTGCCAAACTCAACATGTGAAGAAACAGTGGGGGCGTCAGATACACACACTCACAGTATTATTCTCAACCTCTGGCTACGCTGCTTTACCATTATCCCATCTAATTCATTTATGGTAGTTCTTCTGGGAGTCGTTATTCCAAAATTTAACAAAAAATGTGACATGATTGTGAAGATGTTTTGTTGTTTTCTCATTATCAATAAATAAAACTTGATATGTACTCATTGGGTTATTGACCCTAATCTGAACTGTTTTCCAGCCAAAAACATCAACATAAAAATAGGCACACACTAATCTTTAACTGCCTCCCTTCTTCCTGTTTGCTTCACCCAGCAAACAACTTCCTGTCTCTAGCTTTTACTTTCTGGGAAATACCTGCTGGCTCCTTATTAGCTGCCATCAAACAGCAGAGCCTGAAACACAGTGTGTGACACACAGGTTTACAGCTGCTTATTAGTGACACTACACTCCTCAGGTTTCCAAGAACACTTGCCAGTCCCTCTCGTTTTCACCTTTCCCCCTCCATATTTCTTCATAAAAACACAACATCTGCCACAAACTGCCCTCTTCTTACTCCTCTTATATAACTAATAACAGCTTCCCTGTGCGACTGACAGAAAGATAAACGCAGATTTAAAGCCTGTTGTTTCGCAAACCTCTGTCACATATACTCTCATGTGAGCTCTCCTGAGGCCAAACTGTCACTCATCGATTTATAGACTTTTTACATTTACAGCATCATCACTCAACTACACACACCGTCTTCCTGTTTTCTTTCCTTGTCAGAGTAAAGTGAGAAGAGACAAAAGTGGACACATAGTTAGCCATGTATCGAACCAGAGAATAAAAAGTTGAGAAAGTGAGGATCCTCTGTATTTGAGACAACTAAAGGATATATATAGTTTTTATTTTGTATGCTTTAAAATGTGTTTCTTACATAATTTTAGTATCTATGTTTATTTTTACAGATTTAAGTCCTCAGTGAGTAGGGTAGATGGACAGAGCGCAAACACATCCACACACAGTAATCTAAATGTAATCTAAAGGATTTGGTCATAATTCCAAGCCTGACATCATTGGGACAAAGTGCTCATTGAAGGGGGTAGCTGGTCCAACATAAACTAATCACACCTGAGTCATGATGGCAGTGACTGTCTGAATTCAATGACCCTTCATAACCAAGACAAAATCAGATTGGCAGCTTTTAAATCAGTGCTGCTCTTTGCTCCATTTACTTCACTGTTCTGGGAAAGATTATTCCTCTGACAGGCATTTCGAGTGAAAACATGCCATGGAGCTTTGCGTTGGTTGTACCAGCAGACCCTAGGGAACCACAACTGTGCCAAAGATAAGCTGTTGAAACAACTGCAAATGAGAAAAACATCTTTAGATGCCACTTTTGTTATGCAGTGCTCCGTTTAGAGACGATAGAAAAGGTTGCAGAAATTCAGGGAAAACCAGAGGGGGGGGGGTCTGTTATGCAAAGTGATTAAAATTAGAAATGCATCATCTTTCCTTTCTCTTGTAAGTTTGCTTTGTGCTAAATAAACGCACAGTTTTTTATACATGGTAAATGGACTTCTTGTATAGCGCTTTTCTAGTCTTCTGACAACTCAAAGCCCCGCATTTTCTTTTACCCTGCACGTCACACCTACCCATTCACACCCATTCACACACTGATGGCAGAGGCTGCTATGTAAAGTGACCATCAGAAGTAACTAATCCCATATATACACATGCATACGCTGCCGATGCAGCAGGGGGACACATCGGACATGTTGCAGCAGGAGCTGAAGATCAAACCCCTGACCTTCTGGTTGAGAGACGACCGACTCTACAAACTGAACCACAACTGCACCATACATGTATCTCACCGCTTTTTACTGATGGTTACTGTCGGCTATGCACCTTAAAATTTCTACCTCCTCGTACATATTACACCCACTTTTCTCTCTGCCTATAAATAATTTTTTATATTTGACTGTTTTGAGCTTTTAACCAAAATATTTATTTTATTCTTTTAATCCCCTTTTTACATACGGTTATGTTCATTTTTTTTGTTTTTCTGTTTTGTTTCTCAGTTACAGAATTTCGTTCTACTGTGTACCTGTCTGGTATAGTGTCTGAATGACAATAACGGAATCGTGAAGCTTTATGCCTCGTCTTTTTTTTAATATACTTTTTTGGTTTAATTTTAGTTACTCCTACTGAAGCTGTCTATCAATTTCAAATCCTTATCTGACTTTTCTCAGACAACTTATTGTTAACAATCTTCAACAACTTTCCATCCATCCAAACTTTACTATGTTGTAATCATTGTTATGTATACTTCGGCCTTTGTAGAAGAGAGAAATTTCATGTGTGTGTGTGTGTGTGTGCGTACCTGTAGCCTTCTCAGGGTTGTTACACATAAAGCAGAGCCAACCTCCTTCTTCCTCACTGTATCCAAACAGGTCAAAGAAACGGACCTCCTCAAGCTGAATCTGGAGACTATCCAGGTCCTGAAGACAGAAGGAAAGAAAACAGAATACTTATTAGCTGTCCTGTCATACTGAAACTTTTGTGTTTCTTTTTTATAATTACATTATGGCTTTTTTTCACATGGAACATTTTGATATGTTATAGAAGAGAAAGCACAGGTAAAGGTAATATTATCACTGGATAAATTCCAAGAGCTGTCTCAGTTTCAGTGTCTTGGTATTGTGCATTCCTGCTTACACTGACTTGCTGAAGAAATCAGGGACTTTATTTAGAGATAGTACGGTGGATAGAGTCAGAACTTGGGGCGGGAGAGAGTGGGGAATGAAATGCTTGAAAGGAGCCCCAGGTCGGATTTGAACCCTGGCTGCCCGATTAGAGGACTACTATTGATGGGGCGTGCGCACTGACCAAAAGGCTACCGGCACCTCTAATGGCACAAGTTTAACCAGTCCATAGCAAGACACTTGTTAGAGCTACTGTCACAAGCATAAACACACATCAATAAACAGCTTTCAACTTTAAGAGGTACTTAAGAGCTTGACATTACAGTTATAGACTGTACAGCTGTGTGAATGAGCTTGTGTTTCAGTACAGAAAGCACCAGAATCCCCCATTTCATATCCCTGAAGACCCCCTGCACATGGTCGGAGTTATACTCTCTTAATATATATAAACACACTTCAGTGACACTTACACTCCCCCTGAGATAATACCTATTTATCTAGTTTGGAGAGAAAAATAAAACAGGCATGTTCAAAGGGATGATGGATTACTGTCATCAGTCTCCTTGACAAACATACAGTTTTGTCCTGACTGTGAGTGTCTGTGTGAGTGTGCATTTTTGTGTTCATTTTGTATTAATGCATTTTAAGCCTGACCACCAGCACAGCAGAATACTTAACTTCATCATTTCTCTGACCTCTGAACCTGCTGCATTCCCTTCATTATTTTCTGATGATCCATTTAAGAACGGGAGACATATATTTCTCACTAAGTTAGACTCAAATAAAATGCTCAGAGGGAGTTTGTTTGATAAAATGTAAGGGAAGCAGGTAGCTGTACTGGCAGAGCTACTAGTGTGTTTGACATTGACCTGTTCTCCTTCAGTCCTTGATGTTAATGAGATATGATATAAATGGGAAAGCTGTTTTTTAGCTGTGTATTCCCATTTGAACCACTGAAACCCAGACTAAAACTCACATTTTAAAAACACACGTGTACACAACACTACATGCCATGTCAAAGTGCACACATGATCAAAGGAGTCACATTTAGACTCATCCATACATCAGAGTTTAACTTGCGTTGTTAAAACTTAAATAATTGAGGTCAAAGGGGGTTGCCTGCGGATACAGATAAACCAGGACCATGTGTGGCTGACAGAGTCAGACCATCTGTGGGTTTACATGAACATTAATATTCTGATACGAGGGGGCCGAGTGGCCTTCAGGAGAGACATGTTGTGCAACAGTGAGAAATCCTGGTTCTGAGTACTGAAACATCAAAGCACAGATGCACACGATGAAGTAACAAAAGGCAAGTGGAAAAGAGAGAGGTGGGGGTGCGAGATGTTTACTCAACTCTTTGGATCTACCCATCTTTGAGGTATTTTACTTCACCATTTCATCATTTATACTTGTAAAAACTCTCCTCTAAACTTTAAAAGACAATATTTTTCTTTGTTTCATTGTATTAATGTGACAGCTGAAATTATTAATTACTTTGTAAATTAGAATTCTTTATTTAAAAACATTCAGGAGATGAGATTAGTCCAAGTCGCTTTTCTGCAATGATGCTTCCTTATCGAATAGAATAGGGGACATTTTTCCCCCAAATGACTGGATAATGTCTCATTTAAATATGCCCAACCATCACTGAAGCTCTGCAGCTTAATTAGTGGACACCCTGCATGTGTTTTGTGAGTGTCTTGCACAGGTTTAGCAGGTGCAAAAGCAGAGCCACACCTTTTGTAAATAAAGCCTCGAGTATTTTGATTGTATGTGAGTCTATTGGTTGTGAATGTTTTTATGTTGTTTGAGCCTCTAACCAAAAAGTAATTTTCTGTCACTATGTGATAGACAATACATTTTCTTTTAAATCTTGAATCTTTTTGTGCCAGGCTCCCCACAACGTAACACACTGCGTGCTGACAAGACACAATTCACAGACAAAGTAAGTTATAGATGGCTTCAATGAGCTAGTGGAAAATGTTGCTGTTAACAATGACATAATTGTCAGCCAGGAAACATGCTGAAGTGGAAAAGCATGACCCCATGTTTGATTGATCAGGATGAGAGGTGGATTCAATGGAGATGAAGAAACAATGGCTGGATGTAACTCTGAATATAATACTGCTGTCCTCATGTCACCCCCTTTACCCCTTCATTATGCCCCCTTTCGTCTTTGTTTCTGCACTTCCAGCCCTCCACCCATCCCTCTACCTCTGTCTGTAGATCATGGTTATAATTTGATCAAGCTGTTAGATTGTGTTAAAACATGACTGCTGACTTCAGGCAGACGATGGGGCACTGCATTGACACAGGAAAATGGCTACATTTTTTTTTCTTTCATTTCAAAATGTTTTTTTTGAAAACAAGTCAAGTCGAACTTTCAGAGATCAACATTTATAACAGGATTGTAGGGTAATTGTGGCAGGGAAAAAGATGTTGAATAAAGCCTTGAAATATTGTTGTGTTAACATAAATGTGACAGACAGATGAATGGCTAGACACAAAGACCAAAGTGTGTAACAAGGGTTCACAAGCACCTTGGCAGTGCAAGAAGTGAACTGGCAATCCAAACCAAGTCCACACAGACTGAGCTACTGCCTTCCAGTATGGGATGGGATGAGAATCCAAAGAAGCTTTGTGGAGGTTTCCTGAATAGACTTAACCAGAGACGGAAAAAGAGAAAGTAAAATGGGAGGTGGAGGCAGGAAGAGTCGCAGAGAGGGGAGTGTAAGACAGGAGAAAGATGAGTGGATGAGAAGTGGGAGTTTTGGAAAGGGGAGTGGAGGCTATAAACATGACAAAGGCTCTATCTAATTCGGTCTCTCTTGACATAATGAGCTTCTTGTTTTCTTCTGCTCATACTATTTTCTCTTTTCCTTCCCTATCTTATTTTGGTCACTGCTTCACACCTTCTCTTTTTACTCAGCCTTTCTCCAACATCCTCTTCCTGCAACAAACTTTATCTCCACCAGAATTGTATCAACAAACATTTTCCCTCGTAGCCAAATACAGACAAAAGGTTAAACAATACTTGTTGAGTATCTTCTCTCGCAGGCTTCCCCTTCACCCCGTCTCCATTTATATCTATTGACTAGTCTTCTCTCTTTTCCTCTCTCTTTTCCTTTTTTTGTCACATCCTCTCAGAAAAAAAAAACCTTTAAAGTTTCTCTTCTACAACAAATTCTGTCTTTCCGTCATCACTCCACTTTCGTCTCCCTGTAACATCCCGGTGGGACTCATTGGGACTCAGTAACTGTTGTTACTTTATATATCTCACACTTATCCCTTTCATCCTTATCCCTGGTTTAGGTTTTGAAGCTCTTACATCCCTCCATCCCTCTATGTAGACTCACACCAGTTTTCTCTCTGTCATAGAATTACTCAACTGAGTTGTCAGAAGCCATACATAAATCCCTACCTTCCATCTCTTCCATCTCATGGAGTCCTGTAGTCTCCTATCAAGCCCCCCTGTGGGTGCAGACATAAATCGATAACCTCTTCTCTCTCATATATGTCTTTGCATTTTCTTGTCTCCCTCTACATGTGTTTTTGATTGGCTGACAGTGGCTGGAGTCGTAGCTCTATTAAGATGGAAAAGAAAGCAAATAGAAAATGCAGAGCATATGGATGGAGAAAAAGGCTGTGACCTTCTTCCTCTCTCTCTCTTGCTGTTAAATTGCATCCTCTTTCTCTGTGATTTATGGTATTCCCTAAAACATGGAGACTGAACCCATTTTACAGCCAAAAGAGATTTTATAAGTCTATCACTCATTAAGTGAACTAAACCAGTCCACTGGTTTGGATTTAGGATGGGGAATATCAAAATGAGGCCTATTTATTTCACCAAAGCCCTTAAAAAAGATTCATCTGATCTGATAGTTTTGCAGCAGTAAAGCTACTGTTTTCGTTTACCTTAGCTTAGCACTGGCTGCTGGTTCGGCTCCCAGGCCTAACTAGCTCCACCCCCAAGCATATGAAGTGTTTGTCTTCCACTGTTGCTTTATCAGTTTAACTCTGTACCCTGTATCTACTGAGCTTTTGTTCTAAGTGACATCTTCATTATTTAAAGATTTATTTTATGGGCTTTTTGTGCCTTAAATGGAGAGACAGGACAGTGGACAGAGTCGGAAATCAGGGAGAGAGAGTGGGGAATGACATGCGGGAAAGAGGCCACAGGCGGGATGCGAACCCGGGCCGCCCGCTTGAGACGACAGCCTCAATACGCCCTAACCATTGCACCACCAGCACGCCCTGTGACATCTTAATTCTAATGAACTTTATGTTTTGGACTTTATGACTAAAGCTCTTTTTTGAAAAGTTATGCCTAATATCTGGTGCATGCCATCAACACTCTTTCCCCCATTTTTTTTTTTTTATCTCTCTCCAGCGTACTATCTAATAAAGGCAAAAGGCCCTCAAAAATAACAAAAAAAAAAAATCAAAATGTTGAACTACACCTTTACGTTATAGCTGCCAAGTTGAAAACAGCAGGAAGCCTTTATAAACTGGTGAGAGAGCAGGTAAATCAAAGATTTTACTGATTCAGTGAAGACTGGGAAGGCAGAGGTTTACAGCCTTTCTTTGAACACTTAAAAGTCACACAGCATGAGCTTTCCTGCCCTGAGTACTTTTTGTGTGCACGTGTGTGTTTTTGTGTTTATGAACATGTGTCCCTGGGTATGTACAGGCTCCATATGGAAACCATAGCTGGGCCATCTCATTGCAGCAACACATGGGTCGAGAAAGACAAACTACAGCTGTATTTTCTTTGTGGGTCTAATTGTTTCCCAGTGACCACTTAGCTTGTCACATTATGAGGGGCTGTGTGAGGAACAACAACCATATCCACGCACTTACACACAATGGTTCATAAAAACACACCCATAGACACACATGATAAAGATGAGAAGTCAGTGTGAGCAGAGAGCTTGTATACAGAAGTGTCTATTGAGTGCATTCCATATTTAAACAAAGTGAAACTCTGACACTTTCCTCTCCTCGCGTTTCTTTTTTTTTTTTTTTATCACTACTGATGACATCATCCCCTATGCTGGAGACAGATAGCTTTGAGCAGGAAGTGCATGCACACAACACACACTACACAGACTCACACACACTGTGGCCCAGTACCTTCCTGTGTGGGGTGGTATGCTGACTCATAGCCATGGGGAAGCTGTGAGCTCCTTTAATCTGCGTCTTCTCCCAAAGAGAAACAAGTCTCTGGACACACTCGTCCCTGGAGCACAAAGGGACACTGGACTTACTCTGGTCAAAGAAGAGAGAAAGAAAAATTAAGATTGGCAAAAAGACCAACAGTGGAATGGAAGATACTCTTGTCTTGAACTTTTACACAAATTCAAAGGGAAATTACATGAGATACTGTGAAATTGTAATTTTAGCAATGCTAATGAAGCTAACTGAATTCTTTGACCCAAGCTACTTGATTAGTGATTATCAACCATTTACGTGCCAACACACTAAACTATGTGGTAACAGTTAAAAAAAACTTTTTTTTTGTGGAGCATCACCTGTAGATGTAGCAGCATGATGTGTATCCAAAGATGAGGCTGTCGGCTGGTCAGGTGGAAACAGGACTTAGTGTACAGACAGTAGTGGCCCTTAAGAGGACAGGAGAATGACAGCTTGGCGACACATCCTCGATTGGAATCTGTTTTAAAAAAAAAAAACGCGGGCACACAAAATATAAAAATGACAAAATGATTCATGTTTAACAGATGCGTGAAAGTTACAAATCATACACTCAAATTCAGGATTTGGATCTAAGTCTGTTCATGCCCTCCCCCCCGTGTTTCTGTCTGACTCACACATATGGACTTGTGTAATCTTGAGAACATTTTTACAGAATTAATCGTAGCACGCAAGGACCCTGCATCTATAATCATGAAAATCACCCACAAACATGTCCCATGAACCCCCACATCTTAGCCAATGAGATGACACTAGCAAAGGGACAGGAGCTTATGTTCTTCTCATGAAAATCTTTGTTTAGGTAAAGAATTGTAACCAAGATTAACTATACTGGACTTACAATGGAGTCGTAATTGTTTGCCTGGAAACTACTCTATCCTAATATACCATGTGGATAAAATGTGGCTCAAAATCCCCTGAAACATCCCTTTATATTTGATTATTATTATTATTATTATTTTTTTTTACAACTGGTCGGCATTAAGCATCTAGTTTAGCTGTTGGCCCATGCTTCCTTTTTTTGCTAACCTAAACTATATTTTCTGGCATTTCCCAGAATGTAAGAAATCCAACCAATCCCCTCAACTTGGAACTTTTTTCCACTCAGGAAATTGCAAAAACTCTTAAAACAATGATGGATAACTCAGAAAGTTTCAATATCAAAGTGAAATTGTCTATGCTGAAGGTGACTGCTGAAGGTCAAAGTCATTTACAGCCAAAACAACATTAATTAGTTAATATTCAAAAAATCTTTAATTCAAGAGAAGGCCTCTTTAAAAATTGTTTTTTTAATTGATCTGTACATTTTTAATCTGTCTCCTGTATGGAGGCAATACATCAATGAGTTGACACTGAGGGTGAAACATTTATACCGTGTCCCCTTTATACTTTCACAACCACTCTTGCACACTAAAGGCTGTATCGGGACCAACTTGGAGTTCAGTGTCTTTCCCAAGGACACCTCAACATGTAGCCTGCAGGAGCTGGGGCCAGGGATCAGATGGTTGACCTCCAGATTTGCGAACAACTAGCTTCTCCACTCCTCCACAGCAACATGTGCAAATGCACTCTGCTGTGTAATCCTCATCATCCCCTTGAGATGGGACGTCAGCAGCACATGTGTAGGCCAGCTAAGGCCTGATGACATCATCCAGCTGAGACAACCTGTGACATCATACCCTAGGTACCTTTGGGTTGATTCTCATTAAGAGACTTAATACAATGAGAGAAAATTCAAAGCACCAATTACAGGATGAGGAATGAGTGTGTGTTTAACAAGTGTATATTTACATTCATTTTTGGATTTAATCAATTAACCCCAGGCCAAAGGAGGAGTTTGTTATTTTTTTCATGTTTTATGTTCTAAGTGTGTGCATACATGTGTGTGTTTGTGTGTGTGTGTGTGTGTGTGTGTGTGTGTGTGTGTGTGTGTGTGTGTATCATATGACTCCTGGCTGCCTCTTAGTTAAAATGACATAAAGGCCAAGGGTGGAGCAATTACCTCCTCTCTCCTGTCCATCAAAATATCATCAACTCTTGTGTTGTGTTTGTGCTAAGTGTGTGTGTGTGTGTGTGTGTGTGTGTGTGTGTGTGTGTGTGTGTGTGTGTGTGTGTGTTTTGTATGTTCCCTTATGTTCAAATAACGTTGCTTAGTCCCCGAAGGTGCAGTTCAATCCTGCAGATGGCTCTGACAAAGGAATACAGAGAGGACTAAACTGTCCAATGATAACTGATGGCGCTTGTAAAGTGCTTTTTAAGTCGCTTTGAAGATTGTGTAGGTAAGAAGTTCTTGTTACCAAGCTCAGTGCATTTTATGGGTCCTACTTTGATGGCCCTAAAGTCCATTGGCTAAAGCCAGTAATTTGTGTGTGTCTCGACTATATTTTGGTATTTATACAGCTCACAATCTGGATGCAGAACCAGGTGCAGAACGCAAAGAGGCTGGATTGAGGTCCCTTACATAGGTGTGTTTCAGGTGTAACATGATTCAAACAAATCAGAGTGTCAGTTCTCACCTGCAAACTAGTGCATTGCTATTTTCACAGCAGATTTGAGTTTTTATTCTGAGGCCGGATCATTAAACTTGTTAACTTTCATTGTGCCCCTGAACACACACACAGGACACTGTATGAAATATGATGATGTCTGATGGAAGTTGTATTTCACTGAATTATTCCCACAACATCAGAAACGATCAGAAAGACACGGTTAATATTGCCGCACGAGGCACAAAAGTGTATCCTCAATTATGATTACAATCTCCAAACACACTGACAGGATCAGACAGGATCTATGTTAACTAATGTTCTGTGTGCTCAAACATCAAATAAAGTTAGACTGTAAACATTCATTTACTTTTTTTCTCTGCAGTAATCCTCGACTCTATTCTCTAACGAGCGTGGACAGGGGACAGTTTTCTTTTAACATCTGCAGGCTTGATTAACAGTGACACTTGTGTGTTTCTGTGTGTATGAGACAGAACGTGTATTGATGCAAGAGCAATAGAGGAGTGTTTGGAAATAAACAGAAAAACAAGTGTCTAACTTTCTAATACATCCTCTAAATACAGTATCAGGAACAGACTCTAGACTTATGACCAGGTTTTAGGTGGTCTAAAGCCTAGTCCATTTCTGTGTCTTAAAGACAGGAACGTGCCAGCTTTATGCTCGACCACACCTCATTTAAAAACAAACACAACCCTGCACGGGCACTAACGGGAGTGCAAGTTCAATGGTTATTTAAACAATGTGAGTGCTGGGTGTTAAAATGACAACTATTAGGAGGATAATAGAGCAGACACCTTCATACAATTGGGCCCTCGTCAAATATGCACCTCATATTTCAAATGGATTCCTGGATTTTTTATGTTGGTATTTTCTCAATGCAGCTATATGACTTACATGACATGATTCTAAAATTGATCAAATCTGATTCTATACAGAAGAGATTAGAACAGACTCTGCTCAAAGACGGCAGCAAAGTCCTTAATCAAGAGAAGCAAATAGAACTGATGGGTATAAAATAAGAACAAATCTCAAGACGTAAATGAAAATAAAAGATGAAATCCCTGAACATGACAAGAATGACATGTTTACCACGTTTTAGAAAATGGATTAGATTAGTTCGAAAAAAAGTAAGAGGTTTCTCATTTCATTGTTTTTTTAACATGATCTGCTTGACCCTGTGGTTTCTAACCAGCACACACTGCTTGATCTTTAGCATAAATTCATGCGTGCACACACACAACTTTATACAACTAATTTATATTATATATATTTACTTCATGCTAACTTCATATGTATGCGGATCATTCATCTGGTTCTACTTAAAACGACCACATTGTATTGATGTAACTGAATATAACGACCCTACCCACCTCAAAACAGTCCTCTGCCTCTATATGTTGATTAATTTTTCTGTTAAAACAAATTAGCTCCATGACATCGGACCCATAGAGTTTGGCTCACATGCGTTCTTTCAGTTTGGATTAAGAGCAGGTGGAGCACTGGAATCAGCAACTCCATATGATCATAGATTTGGTAATACTCAGAGTCCTATCAACAGACCAAATCCAGCAATTGATCATGCTTGATGTATGTCCTGTGTAGTAAAAACCAGGGGATCTGTCCACAATATATAGAACACCCTTCAAGGCTTGTTGGCTAATATTAAACAGAAGTCTATCAATATTTTCCAGAGCGCTGCAACATGCAACATAAATCATTTTATCCTGAACCTTTTAAGATGAGACTATGATTCTGAACTACAAAGGTTCCACAACATTTCTGTTTGTTTTCAGCATTGTGAAGGCATATAATGACAACCATGGATATGGTACATGGGGACAAGGGCTTCAAACTAGTAGTTATAATTCTCTTTTGTTTTCAATGTCAAATAGGTTCTGGACTGAATTTTATCTGCTACCAAAATGTATGAATTTATAAGAAACACTTATTTTACTACAAGTCAGAGAAACAAAATGCAATCAGTTCGGACTGAAGTGTTAATGGAGGACACAGAAATGTATTCAAGAATGTAACTTGTACTGTTGAAGGACAAAATCAAGCTCATGTTACCTCTAGAGGGGATTAAAATCGCTTGCAGCACATGTATTATTAAAATGACAGTACTTCCCCTGAAGACATTTATCCCTGTCTGATCGAGGCTCATGAGAAACTAATCATTCTTACCCAGAGTTGTGCAAAGCTGCATCTCGATACATAAGTGTGTATGTGAGATAAAGAGTGAGAATGAAAGGAGAGAGGGCAAAGGGAAGTGTATTCATACCACACCATCAATCACCCGAAGCCACCACGTCACATTGTAAACTCATTAAGGTTCACAAACCCTCCTTCTGCATGAGTGTGCCTCCCTTTACTTCTCCACACACTGCATCAACCCAAACACTTTCATCAAATTATTTATGGAAATTTCCTCAAAGAAAACATGCACTGACAAAGCTGTTCATCATGTTCACTAACCTTCTATCACACATTGCTCTGGTATTGGGATCTGCTGCACCATGTCTTTACAGAACTCCCTGATTGTCGCCATATTGTCTCTCAAATGGATGAAGAGTCTGTCGACTTCCCCCTGCTCCTCCTTCTCTCTGGCCTTGTCTTTGCTTTGACCTTTCTCAGCCTCTTTGACCCCTCGGTCCACGGCAGCCGAGACAGGGATGGAGCCATCATCTAGTGGCTTCCTCTCAGTGGGGGGGGCTTCCTGGTTTTCAAAAGGCAAATTCACCAATGTGTTGGAGAAGATGTTATCTGGGCTTTGATCCACCCCCTCTCCGTCATCCCCGTTATCAGAGTTGATGGAGCGTGAGCGCACAGCGTGAAGGGCCAGGCTCTTTGACCTACAGAGACCGTTACACAAAAACAGTGAGATCTGTACTCCTTAAACTACAAGTATCTTCACTTTAGAACATGACATGAATTCTTCAAAGGCTATTCAGCACATGTATAAATACAATTCTATAAGATGGCGATAGGTCAAACTAAGTCCGTTTAAGGCCAACACTTAATACACAGTACCACAAATGTAGGACAAAGAAGACAAAAAAAGACAAGAAAAGCTCATGTAAGGGTCAGTTACAAGTCTTCCAATCAAATCACTGCTCTGGTTAGGCTACAAGAGGTTTAGCTCATTAATAATCTTCATATCGTTTTTTCTATGCAGTCAGGGCACAGATACCTGTGCACTGTTACACACGAACCTACCTGTTGAATCTCATCTCTCGTCTCTCCTCCCTGACGGCTTGGCTCAGGCTGTAGCGTCGTTGGGCTGGCAGAGAGTCTCCATCAACCTCCTCCTCTCCCCTATCCTGCTCCACCATTTTCTCCTCGAAGGCTTGGATCTTCACCTGCAGATGCTGCTCTGACCTTCCTCCCCCTCCTCCTCCCACTGGAAGAGATGCACAGGGTGACAGCAGGCACACCTCGTCCACCCTTGTAAAAAATACATGAAGAGGGCAAAGGGTTGGATTGCACGTGAGATGGAGCTGGACAGAGAAATTTGGACGGAGATCTCGCTCTCCACCAACATCCCTCACTCTCTTGCTAGCTGGTCTGTAATTCTCACTTCCCCACAATGACTGGCTCTCTGTTTTTCTCCATCATGTGCCTCCTTCTAACACGGTTTTGTTGGCCACATTTCACCTTCTCCCCTCTCTCTTGTGCTTTGTTTTCACTGCCTGTTGCTTTGAGGCCTGTCTCCTCTCGTTTGAACCCTCACTCAAACTAATTATTCCCTTCAGTTCTCTCACTCTCTTCCTTTCTGTCTCTATCTTTATTCCTACAAGTGGCCTTTGTATCTTTAATTAACAGTCCACTTTGTTGAAAGAGGACTTCATACTGCACGTTTGTGGTTTTTCTTCTGTCCACACCCCCTTGCTCTGTCAATCTGTTGTTCCCTCAATCTTTTTTCCACAAGACCCCAAGCAAAGTGTTTGGAAGCCTCCGATCCTGCACACAATGTTCTTATTTTGGAGAGGGCTTTGCGTGTCAATCCCTCACTGCAGCCAGATGAATCCCATTCAACTCATGCACATCAACACATAAACATACACACTTTTAGTGACTTCCATAAAAAAACTTATAAAAACAGTAAAAAGTTTTCAGATGATATTCCTGCATATAAAAAACACAGGAAGGAAACATTTTAGTGATCAGTGACTGGAGTTGATAAAAACCCAAATTATTTAGTACCACAAATCCGATGCATCTGTGGGTTCAAACTCTTTACTCTGTGCAAGAAAAGTTTTGTTGTTATGTTTCAAAACTCTTGACTATCTCTGTGACACACACACAGCTCAGCCCATGTCTGGAACAGGATCAGTATGGACTTTTTTTTATTCAACTGAAACTGATACTTCATTAGCAGTTTTGAGAGACTAACATTTCAGAAATTTCTTCATAACAACTGTGTGTGGTTTGATATATCTGACTGGAGTAGGCCTTGCAAGATAAGCTCCCAACCCCACAGTAAATCAACATTGTTTAATACTCATATGGGAAATTCATGCAGGACTAAATCAGTCCCATTAACAAGCAAGTTAAAAAAATACAAAATAAAGTAGCCTGTTTATATCTTACCTACTTTCTCTCATACATTTTTGGAAACTATATAAGTCACTTTCTCTTTAAATTACAGTTTAGAGTCCACTGCTGAGACAGCACTGGTGTTACAAGTTACAAGTGATCTGATAATTGCTTTGGACAGTTACTTCCCTTTTAAATCTTAGTGCTGTATCATAGACTGTAAATATTAATTGACAAAGCCCAAGTGACATCAGCAGTGTTGCAGGGGGCTTTGGAGTCTCATTGATGGCTGTCGCTAAGCTGGAAATGCTGTCTCAAGCTAATTTTCAGTCAACCTCATGACAGGCTAAGAGCTGGAGCTGAGGAGGGTTTTAAGCTTCTTGACAAACTGTTATATCGCACTCACCTGTCAATCAGGTCAGCTACGTGCCCTTGTGACTAACACTTATCATTCATGCAATCTAAATGGATGAGCAAAAATGTAAACCCCCCCGTACCGTGTGTGCTGATCGAGTCATGAGCTAATTGGACCTTTTTCCTATTTTGAACCAGGCTGTAAATATTTGAATTTCTGCTGTAAAAGTGTGTTAATGGGGTGTGTATATGACTTCCAGTGCAGTTTCTGCCTGTTCAAAAGAAGATTTCTTTGGACAGTTTTTTGTTTTGGAAAGTGTAACATTTTGCAAAATATCCTTATTATGCTTCTTAACAGGAGTTAGAAAAGAGGATTCATAAACGTGTCATGCCTTATTGTAACTCATTAATCCATAAGTCTTCAAACCTGCATTGGGTGTCCGTGCTCTCCTCGAGTTTCCTCCCCAACAGTCGGGCTATGGCAGTGAACGAGTTGCTCATCCTGTAGAGGTCTTTGCCGCAGCCTCCCAGTACAGAAGGATATCGGTCCGTCAGAGCTCGGATCTCCAGCAGCAGAGTGTGGTGAATGCTATGCTCCATGCTGCCCAGTAGGGACACCAGGTAAACCAATGAGCTGTGAGCGTGAGTCTGGAGACAGAAGACAAGAGGTGAGCAGAGGGAGATGTAAATAAGGAAACAAATGCAGACATAATATTATTTCAAACAGTTTGTTCTATTGTACAAATACATTGAGTTTAATGTTGTTATTTCTAATGTTGTGGTTGTTATGGAGTGTACTGCATGTGACTAACAATATGACCAGTGTTGTGTTATAATATACCTTGAAGGAACTGATTGACTTATGTGTTTTTATAAATAAACAGTGAACTTTATCAAACTTAACATACATTTGTTTTACATTGTAACTTATTATGTTAAGACACAAAAAATGTAAATATTAATATAAACACAAGCAGTATGTGCTCAGCTTTTCCCAAAGGGCTTCATTTTTCCATCTGGTTTGTTTTGTAATATCTATTAAATAAACACATATTGTTATTTTCAGCCACTCTTCTTGTAAACTGTATCCAGAGTCGATATAGCTCATTTGTGCGAGATCTGGAGGTCTCTGGCTCCAAATCTGATCTTTTTTTTTCACAACAATAATGATTAACTTAAAAAATTGAAAACCTTATGTTATGTGAATTTGTTGTACTCTCAAACAACTTTTCAAACAAAGAGGCAGCTGTGGCTCAGTGTTAGAGTGATTTGTGTCTCAAGCGGAAAAGGTGAGACACAACTCCTCCTGCAGTCAAGTGTTGAAGTGTGCTTGGCCAAGACACCGAAACCCTAAATAGCTCTAAGCCTACGGCGCTGGCAGTTTGACTCATTTCGTAGCAGCCTCTGCCATCAGTGTGCGACTGTGGTGTGAATGGGTGATTGTGACATGTGGTGTAAAATCACTTTAAGTAGTCAGAAGACTAGAAAAGCACTATCAAAGTCTATTGAACATGTACTAATTCCGTTCATATACTGTTTTGGATCAATTTTTTTTTTTTATGTAAACGCCATAAACAACAAATGATATTCTATTTCAGGTCTTATCCTCACCCATTTTGGATAACCCTTTAACAAAAAAGACATGAGTGTTTTTATGAGTGTTGTCGACCAGTTAACACAGAAATCACTGTGACAACAGATGAACAAGGTGTTTAAAGGTAGAACCAAAGCAGATAAAAACAACAACAACAGATGCTTGTAAAGCCTCACACTCTGACAGAAGAACACAAGACATCCATGTCCTGCTTTGACTCAGAGACATGATGGTTATTCTGTGTGTGGAGCATAATGCAGACATAGCTTCCTGTGCTTAAAGACTTTAAGAACATCTTGTAACGATCACACAAGAATGCATTTTACTGCACAGTTTGGGCATGTTTCACTAGCTACACTTCCTTGTGAATCTTTTGAATTTATTCGTGGATGCCTGAACTACCATAAAAGGCGGGACTCGACTCAGCTAGAAACCCCGTGTCAGGTATGTATTTAGGACTTTGTGAAGTCTAAGACATAAATAAAAGGAAAGCTTGCCTGTAGCACGGTTTGCAGGTAGCAAGAGTTCACTAAGATGTGCACTAGTGAACTACTACTGTTTTGTAGTTATCGCTTTATTGCTGAGACAATTTTTACTTTGCAAGGACTTACTACAATATATCCAACCACTACAGCATAATTAGAACTTGCAACATTGACACTTTGAAAGTGAGACATTTAACAGTTCTATTAGAAACCTGCCAGGTCATATGATGCCTTCGTTCGTGTTTAATTGTGCGGAAAAACACTTGGCTATGAATTGATGTCCTGAATACAACTCTGGTTTTACTCAGGGAAATATCTTATATCTTAATTATAAATTTTCATGATCTCCAAAAAATGATGGCATGGGAACAGATATACCTCAGAGGTGCAGATCTGATAGGTGAGTCAGAGAAAAAAATTAAAAAGAGATGCTTTTTCTGCCTCGTGTTCCAAAACACAAACACAGAAACACAACTTGGCTCATGCATTTGATTATCTTAATAGCGGAAAATGCTGGGAGTCAAACTCCTCTGGCAGTAGCAAATGTTTGTGTGCAAGAAAAATATCTGTTGAAAAACTAAACTGTTGAAATCACCTACAATTAAAGAAAAGGAAAACACTTCATTACTCCAGTTACTGGCTAGTTCACTGCTGCTCACTGACCTGTTGTTTTTTCTTCTTCCCTTGTTTGCTTGGTCGCTTAGTTTCTCCTGATTGCAGATCAGATTTCTGATCTCCCTGCTTCCTCTGGAACTACAGTCTGGCACACAACTCTCTTTAAAAAGTCTCCTGGAGAAACCACTGTGTGCCTGAACGTGTGTTGTTCCCCAGGGTGCATTCATTACTTCCGGCAACTACTGCATATAGGTTTACATGAATGTGTCCCGAGGTAGAGTTGATTTAAACCTTGTTATATATCACACAATAATAACAAATAAAGGACGAGCATACATCCATCAAAAATGAATCAAAGTATTCCTGTCAATTCAAATATTTGTTTAACTACAAATAGTATGTCATTATATCCAGCTGTTTGTAAAACTAGTGTATTTGCTGCACCAGGGGCATAAAACATGTTATTCCTGGAGTTATGATCATTCTCCACACCAGTGGCTTGTTCACGTTTAAAATGACCCATTAGGATATCATATTCTGCCTCCATGCCAGCTATTCACAATCATTTTAGCATGTAGTGCTTCAAAGCAAAGTTAACTTTGGACACTTGTCTAAGTTTCAACAGTTTTATGAGCTGTGAGCAAAGAGACTCAAATTGTTATTTGGAAGTTTTTATAGACCATAAGAGAAAAAATCGATCCAGTATTTTGTGAAATAAGAACCATCTCCGATCCCTTGAGATGGCCTTGACCTCTGTTTTGGGAACTATTGCGTTAAACATGCTGCTGTGTTTTTAACCAGTGCTTGAAAACCCTTCTCTAAATATTCATTTTGTGTATTACATTATGTTTTATAGCATGTATAAAGAAATAAACAAACTCCTGGTTGATACAGTCACACTACAACAGCCTGGAATTTGTTTACTTAAGACTACTTGTGATGTACATTTAGTACAGCTGATTAACGGTGGGGAGAGCGTCATGATATTAAGAAGCTGTGCAGATGTTTTGTCCATATAATTAACAGATAAAGAGAAGCAAATAATAAAAAAAGACTAAAGTGCTGAGCAAGACTTAAACTAATTTCAGTCTTTCAAAACGTCTTTCATGAAGGGCATTGACGCCCAACAAAATTCAGAATTTTCTCAAAACTGAAAAAATGTATTACAAGACTTTTGGGTTTGACTCCATAAAGTGAACAGGGGTTTGTTTCGCCGAATGTTTGATTAATATGATGATGTATACTGATCTAACAGGCAATAAGTCCAGAAACATAATATAGAGGAATTCCCATTGAGGGGTAAAGGAAGCCAGATAGTGAGTTGTGCAATCCTGTTACAAATAAAGTACAAATTCATTCCATTGAGTAGAAGTGTGTGTGCTCATGTGTGTGTGAGCGTGTGTGGGGCACAAACATGAAACCCACAGGAGGTACTCTCCACTGCCATCACCAGGAGGCCTCTGTGGAGGCATTTCCCAGAAAACACGGGTTATTTTCCAAATGGTTTCAATGTGAAGAAAGACAGTGCAGTGAGGTCTGAACAACTATGTGTGTGTTTGTGTGTGTTTGTGTGTGTTTGTGTCGTCTCTGAAGCTGGGTCGGCAGGGCCTGCGACATTAAGATTGAGGCCTTCAGAGAAAAAGGTTGCCTTGGGGCAGTTTAGAAAACTTTATTACAGTTTCCAGCACCATCACATGTGTCAGCGTGTGTGTTTGGTTTGTGTATGTGTGTTGTGTGTGTGTATCTGAAGGGGCATGCATCATCTGAAGACTGTCATGCCATATTTTTCCCTTTCCCTAATTTCCCTTAATTGAGCTAAACCCTCCTTAAAAGGTCCCAGAGGAAAAGAGAGAGTGGGAGCTGCCTGCTGTCACCATCATCACTCTGCATACACACATTACACACTGCAAATATGTGACATCATCTTTACACAGTGTTGCATGGGTGATCATGGATTACTAAGTAATCATGCTCAATACAAGTTTTTAGTTATTTTGCTTTAAAAAGTCTATATCCTAAGGCAACTAAAGATGGCAGTGCTTTAAATGTGTTTGGACACTGGAAACAGTGCTGAGTTTGTTCAAGGACGAGAAGAAACACTGGGCCGTGTTTGCAGTTCTGTTTTTGAAAAGCAAGGCAGTGTTTTTGGAAGCACTGAATTTAAACTTAAGTTAAACAGACGGGAAAAAAGTTAGGTAAATGTGAACATACTTAGGAAGACACATTCGCTTGTAGGGTAACAGGCTAGTCAAGTGTCAACAAGCTGTTGAGGTATAACAAGAGGAGGATAAACCAACCAACATTACTGGACTATTATAGAAGCTATGTAACAAGTGACATTCCACTGTGTGAGTGTGACAGCCTACATCATAGCCTCCCTCTGTGGCCCATCAGTCGGCAGAAATGGCCTCTTACATTCACTCCAATAGCTTGTCTAACTAACCTGCAATTAACAGCTCAAGTGTTTCTGTTGAGGGGCCAAATCACTGCCAGCTAATGGCTAAAACACTGTTAAAGAAATCAATTAGAGGCAAATGAGCAGCCAATCCTGAGGTCAGCCAAGTGTTTAACCCATGGGTCAGCCAAAAGGAGACACGTGGACTACTTTAGCCCACCCTGACAAAATCAAAGACACTTGAAGTCTTCAAAAAAAACGTAGAAGTAAAAAAAAAAAAGAAACTATAAGAAATGAATACCTAAGCTAACAAATAGATGGAAATAGTTTTAAACAAGTCTAGGCAGGAAGTTCACTCATACAAGTAAAGATCAGATGAAAATGAGAACATATTTCCTCGTCAGTTATACATTAAGCACTTTAAGTTATCTTATGCTTGCACCATTAGGTTTTAGCAAACAGATATGCCCCGTGACTGATCCCTCAAATAAGATTTTCCTCAACCAAGGAGGATAGCATAGATCATGTGTATGTGTAGGACAGATGCTCCAATTAGACATTGATGTGAGTGTTAGACAGCAGAGAAAACCTGAGGACCGGCCCATCCTGTCCAGTGTTTAACTGTGTGTTATAATCTTGGCAGGAAAACAGAGAGGAAGTCATGTGAGAGTGGAGCCGACTCCTATCCACACTGAAATAATCATTCCTTCCTGTTTTGGTGTGTTTGTCTGTTTGTTAGAGAGATAGGAATTACCAAGAGACAAAGCAGACTTCAGGTGCTTTGATAGTTTTATTCCCATGCCATTATTTATTAAATGGTTAATGTATTTTTTCTTGTTACGTTTATTAGCCAAACACAAAAACTTTTGCTGCAGAAAATGTCTTACATACACCAGTTGAACATGATTATTTAAAAATTAAGAAGTTAAGATGCCCATTTATACTTTCCCTTTTATTCAATTTTCCTCAACATGAACGTTGTAAGAATCAATCAATTGTTTCTGTACTTCTTTGGTAGCACTCACTACACTATTTTATTTTAAATAAAATGGGGGCAGACAGTCAGTAAGCTTAACTTTGAATACACATTATAAACAACTAATGTGTATGCAAGTGCAGCTTAATCTCTGTGCTTCTTCAACACAAACTTCCTTTAATCTTAATATGGACATCATTCCTGCAAATTATCGAGCCCTCGTTAATTTGTGTGTGTGAGTGAATGAGTGTGCGTGCATTTTTGTACCTCACTTATGATACCCACAGCACCATGGATTTTGGCCACATGACCCAGCAGAGCAGGGTATTGCTGTCCCAAAATCCTTAGTGTTGGCAAAAAGCTGACCAGTGAGGAAGGGCTGGCCTGTGACACGTCCACAAGCGCACCAAGCAGGGCCTCAGTAAAGGATTCGTCTTCTAGGTAACTGACTAATGCAGGCACCTGAGGGCTCAACATCTGAAGGAGTAAGAAGAAACAAAGATCGAGAGGGAGAAGAAGGTTAAAGTGTTATTCATTATTTCGGATCAAAGCAGTAACCCTGTCAGCACTTAGAAACAGTAACCACCACAGAGGGGCTCGATGTGTCCTTAATGAAGGCTGACGGTGAGAGGAGAGACCTTGGAGCGGGATGAAGGGACTGGTGACCAATAATAAACAAAAGCTTAACTGTAGGACTGTTTGGACACACTGAGTGAATGAACAGTTCCTCCTCATTAACTGGACTGCACGAGACAGGATCAGACTAACAATGCCAAACATTTTCATCCCTCCTGCTGCTTCTTAACAAGTCTGAATAATCACACAAGTTATGCAATTTCAGACTTTCATTTTTTATCTTTTCCATAGTTAGTCACTTCCAGTCAGTTGATGTTGGGATGCCGGTTCTTTGGTACAATCACAACAGAAATATTTTATGTGTCTGTGTGGGGGGTGGATACCAGAATAACTTCAGATGGCTGGTTTAGTCTCCCCAGTGCTTCACATGAGTGAGCCTGTCCATGTTTCAGCGAAAAGTGCTCTGCTTGCTGCTATGAGGTACTTTCCCCTCATGTTAAACATCAGGAGCTCGGCTCCAAAATATGCAGGATTAAGAGAATTCCTACTGAGAAATGTTTACTCCACATTCACTGCCCTATTTCTTCACTTCTAACTACGTTCCAGTGGCTTTTTTCTGGCATGTCCAAATGAGCTCATTACACGGAATGGCCCAGTTGATCGGTTATGGGTCTGATTAAGCTTGACTCATAGGCAAATGTTACCAAAAAAAGCAACACACATACTTAATTTTATAGCAAAGTCGAGATAAATAAAGGATTTGTTTGGATTGTTGGGTTGTGCTTTTATTTCATAAAACCTCACAGTCTGATCGAATACAACTACCTAATTTCTTTTTTAATATTCAATGTAAAGCACATTGAGCTTACCTGTAATGAAATGTGCTTTATAAACAAACTTCTATTCTGTTCTTAAATGAAATAATACTATATAAATGGAGCAGAGGATACTTCCTTAAGGTGTTGCGAGTCCATAATTTCTTCACTATTCCAAAGCTGAAAAACTAAAACTAAAAACTTTTTTTTAAATATGATGCATATCATTTGAAGACAAGTTGTTGGCAAAGTGACCATGGTAAAAGTGCAATTAATTCAATTTGCATATGCGGCTTTAAAAAAAGGCTATGAAAGTGTCATCGATAGTTTGATTCTTCAAGAGTGCATTGTTCTTTAATTCTGAAAATAAGACATTAAAGACAACACCAACACTCACAAGTGGATGTTGTTCGGCAACAAGTTGAAGCAGTCTAATCAGGTGTTGCTGCTCTGGGGACTCCAGCTGTGACATCATCGCAGTGAGGTTTCCTAGGTGACAGTGGATGGTATCTGGTTGTCTGGGGTAGACTGAGGGAAGCACTCGTAACAGCATGTGGTTACCTGCAAGAGAGAGACAATGATTGGTTTGTAGTAAGCCTCATAGTTAAAGCTGACACTAAAACCCTTTTCACACATACGGAAATCTCCTGAAAAACTCCAGAGATTTGGCTACCCGGAGGGAATACAGGCTATGTGTGAACGCAAACGGCCGCATTTTTCGCGCGGACTTTACCCGGGCCAGACCCCTAGTATTTTATCAGCAGAAAGTCTGAGTGAACTGATGTCTGAACGCGGCCGCATATACTCCAGAGATTTCAATTCGAGCCAATGGGAAGAGAATGACGTTTATATACAGTGACTGCCTAAAGTGTCTGCACGACGATCTCCATGCACGTAATTAAACGGCTGCATTATGTTTTCTGTTCATCAGTATGTTGTTCTCCACTCTTTTGTGGATGTTGTCATTCCATTGGATTACACATAGGATTGATATAAAAGCAAATATTCTCATTATAACGTTGTGTAGTGGACTCCGTTTGAATCTTCGGCCGCTACTTCCGCATTGTTTATTTACGTCACGTCTTACCTCAGGAAATCCCCCGATCCCCCCACCCCTCTGACAGGGATAGTCCTCCGCTGTGAGGAGCATATGTGAACGGCTAGGTCGGGAGAATCTCGGGAGAATGTGAAAACGGCTTATGCTAACACAACAGTATACATGTGTTTACGATAATGGTGATCAAAGAGGTTCACTTTGGAAAACAGAATTTAGAAAGAGAAAGAGAACAATGATTCATGGTACTAAAGTATTAAAGTCAACAGTCATGTAAAATATATATATTATTAACATTTGGATCCATTTTGCTGTACTTCTATAAACAGTTCATTTTATCCACTTTACATGACGGCTCTTTGTAGTTAATGTATTAACCATACTCTTAAGTAGATACATTTTCTACATTTGCTCATGTCGTTTAATCCAACAGTCCTAAACTAAACCCTGGGGCATGAGTGTCATTATGTTCAGTTTAGTTGAAAATGTTTTATAGAGTTGTTGGGTCAAATAAATACACTTTTTGGAGGCTGCAATTTGTGGTGCTGTTGAATCAATTTGTCCTTTGCCGACATGTGTTTCTAATGTGTTGTCCCGTCCAATTACATTAATCATGACTATAGGTTGAAAAAGCATGTTTTTCTCTCTGTTTAATGCAATACAGACAACAACAGCAACACTAAACTTTAAAGCCAAGTAATCTGATAAGCTTGGGTATATTGAACATAAACAATGGCTGAGTGGTTAGGGCGCACATCCTATGTACAGAGGTTGTAGTCCTTGAAGCGGGCGGCCTGGGTTCAAATCCAAACTGTGGCTCCTTTCCCGCATGTCATTCCCCACTCTCTCTGTCCCTAGTTTCACACTCTATCCACTGTCCTGTCTCTACAATAAAGGCACAAAAAGCCCCCCAAAAAAACCTTAAACACACAATCACACGATCACACGATGTTGTTGATTAATCTCTTTTGGTTTTCAGTTACTTGAGTGCTTTCAGAATCACAATCAGATGAATACACAGAAAAACGGCTAAATTGTTCTTGTTGATAAATGTGGTAAACATGATGACCAAATAAACACGAGTACATGAGGGGAAAATGCATTGGCTTCCCTGAGGTCCAAATGGGAGAATGCTTTTCAATTCACTAGCAACTTCTGCTTAGAAATTGATTACCTTGGTGTTAATCAGTGAGCTGTAGAAACTATTTTGTTACTGTATACCTTATATTTCATGACAGTTAACTTGAGGACAATAGTTGCATAACAGTGAAAATAACTGATGGTACCAAGACTATGAAAACAAGACAGAGGCTTTATGAAACTGTCATTTTTGAAAAACTGTTTTTGTTGTCGCTTTGGTAAGAACATGCATGTTTGCTTTTGTAGTCCTCAGAAATGACACATTATCCCCTCTGTTACGTGCCGTAGTTTTGTGTGTTTGTGCTCTCTCTCCTGCGTGTGCTCCCCAGGTGTTGCTCCTCAGCCTCAGAGTGCCCAGCATCACCTGTGGCTAATTACTAATCAGGGGCAAACTATAAAGAGCAGGAGAGAGGAGGCTGCCAGTTGCCAGTGGGTTGTTGGACTGGGTGTGTCTTTGACGAAAACTTTAGTGTGCTCCTTCTGTGGAAGCTTTGTGTTCTGATTAAGGCCTTATTGTTCATATCTTGAGTGTTAGTTTTGAATTGGCTTCTCTTTTGTTTTGTGTTTTGTAGAAGAAGCTTGTTTTGTGTTGCACATTTTGATTTAGTTTGTTAATAAATCATTTTAAACTTTGCTTGTATGTAGTTCCTATTTCTTTTCCCTGGGTTTTAATTTATTGTTACTCCCCTCATCCCCTAGCCATCTTGGGGAATGTAACACCCTCTCACAAGAGAACATCTGTGAAAATGAATGTCCTCCATTTGTTGACAATATTCCTGAAATCATGGAAATGCATTTAATAAGAAAGTCAGTGCTGACGCATGACTGGACACAATGGAATTCTATAAATCTGCAGACAGAAAACCAACGGCGTTACCCAACAGCCTTTGACTCATTCATACAACAGCTTAAAGTGATTCATATATCTGAACAAAGACTCTTTTTCACAAATGATAGCTTCATGGTGACTAAGCTGTTCAACCATTCACTTTTATGTCCTATGAGCCAAACCCCAGACAAGAGATTGTACACTTCATGTAACATTTTAATGTTTGTGGGCACAATTACCACTATGATGCATGCTTACATTTGTGTATCCACTTATTAGCCAGGAAAAACTGATGGAAAAGTCATTTGTTTTGCATGTATTTGGTTATAACCTCAAGTAGCTGACAGTGAAAATTTAGCCTGATGATCACACTTTTCTAAAATTTAAGTGATCAGTTATATGGCAGTGTGTGAACTAAATCTCTGAATCAAATGTCCAGACAATCCATCCATGTCTATTGCAAAAGGAATCTGTCCAAAAATTACACATATACTCTGTCCAAACCAAAGTGAAGGACTAAAAATCCAAAAGCCAACACCTCAATAGACAGATACACACCACTAGATTTTAATTCATTTAACAACATGAATGCTTTACATTTGGATCTTAAATCAAAAATTAGATGTATTTTCTTAACAGTATGTAAAGTATTTTAGCACCTCTGTTCCATATTTCAAACAGCTAGAAGGTCATGAAGTGAACCAAACAGGTTCATAAAGCTTACAGAAACAGAAACTTTAAAAAAAAGTTTTAAACTACAGGTGATCTACACCCATAAATCACTTTAATCACAGGCTTAATCTTGGAACAGATGACTTGAACTGATCAACCCAAGATACTAAATGTACTGTGCAACTCTGAGCAACGGCAGAAGAGGAGAAGAAGAGTGTTCACTGGCACTTTTTACATCCCTTCTCTTCTCTTTAATCATAGATCACACTATATAACATCACAAATCAGCATAAACGAGACAGAAAGAGTACACCCAAAGAGAGAGCCAACTGTTTCCATAAAACTCAGGTTGTAGTTTTATAGATCTGTTCAGAGGAATGTTAAAAGGCAGGAAGACACGAGTCAGTACTGAAACACACAGATGAGGATTTATAGAGCTAACCTGTAACAGTACACTTAAACATACTTAAACACGAAGTACAAGCACAGCCTGGCTGGACTCAATGTACTGCAATGATTATTATGTTTACAACAGATGCTTTGTAAAAAAACACCAAGTGTGTGTGTGTGTGTGTGTGTGTTTATGTGTGGTTTCTGACCTTAATGTCATCATTCCACCCAACACCCAACTTGGACTGACTTACAAATTGTGGTAAAAAAAAACTTGCTTAGTGACCTTTGTTTTTCCCCCACACAAATGTGACCTTTTTGATGCTTGCTCAGATATTTTCCAAGGAATGTGACAACCTACTGATCTGTCAAAGTATTGTTATTTTTTTGTGAAGAGGCAGGAAGGAGGGAACATGACAGTTTTCTATTGCAGTGCTGTTTCCAAATGTCACATTAGATTGCTTGTCACAATTTTTATTTTACAAATTTACAACATTAAAATGTCTGGAAAACACTTTAAAAAGGGCCCACTGAAGAAGACACCTATTCCGCGTGAAAGTCTCTGGGGACAGACGTTCAGTGTTCAATGCAGGTACTGCTCTGGTAAAAAGCCTTAGAACTATATTAAAACTACAAACATAAAGTACGCTTACACTTATGGGACCATTGCTAAATAAAAGCAACTAAATTAGATAAAAATCAATGTGGCAGATTTCTAATTAATTTAAAATGTTTGACTGAAAGGCAAAGGAAGTTCCCAAGTTAAGCCAAGCCTTGGCCTGTTGAAGTCACTTTTAAACTGAGGGACAGGGATGACTGATTATGTTATTATCAGGTTAACTACTCATTGTCAGCACATTGTCATGACAGGTTCTAATAATCTGCCCAACAATTAGTAAAAGTAAAGTCTACTGCCTGCAAGTGACAATGTAGTGGTGAAACAGTTTTGGGTGTTTGTTCTTAAACAAAAATATACCACAAATCTTTTTTTTTTTACCAGATGATAGCACTAGATAAAAAGCCCAGGGATCAGGGAACACATAAGTTACAAGAGTGCACCATGTGGGAATCATGATTAGCTGTACCAGAATTTATGATGATCCAGCCAACTGAAGTCATATTACTGTCTGGACCAATGATGGACATCTAGACCAACTGACAACCCAACAAATCCAACATGTCATTCATATTTACCGAAATTTCCTCTGGGATTAACCCTCAGGCATCACTTTAATTTACTACCCTCTTAAGTCACTAAGGACAAAAATGTCCATAGTGATGCATGAGGGTTAATAAAGTATTTCTGATTCTGATATAGATAAGGTGTTTACTTCTTGTTCTTTATTTTTAATATTCTCAAATGAAAATTGAAATGAGGTTGTTTATTCAGGACAAGGAGGACATATGCCTCAGCTGCAACCAGCTGACAGATGTTTGAATCATTCTTTAAAATCTCTTACAAGTTAATCTCACAAC